TAAGCTTCCTTTTGAGAGAAACTTCCGGCCCACCCTCTGTGCTCTTGTTACCTACCTCTCTCAGGAGACAGGATAATTCTCTCATTGTACAGAATCACAACTCCCCTCAATTTTCAAAACTGTGTTTGTCTCATATAATAACATTTGGAAGTCTGACAAGTAAGAATATCAGAATCTTGGCATTCAGCACCTTGATCTTGCATTGACTATTAATCCAGCCCTAGAAAAAAAATCAGAATTTCAAGAATTTACATTTTTTATGGTCTTGAAGCAACTGTTAATCACGCACGCAGTTATTCCCCCCAGAATTTAATGCTAGGGAGACTTTTTTTCTCTTTTAGTTGTCTCTTAAAAACCATACTGTGTAAGTTTTAAGTTTGGACAAACTTGTAAGTTGACATTTATTAGACAAAGAAAATGATTTGACCCATCATTCTCCTTTTGTTTTTTCATTTTTGTTTTTTTTTTTTAAATAATATTTTACTGTGTTTAAACTTAAGATAATCCTTTTGATTTTGCTGCTAAGAATATTAAAATTTAATCTTAATGTTAAGGAACTTCAAGCCCCTGGTATGGTTTTACATACTGAATGACCTTTCAATTGAGTTATTTTTGTGTGTGTTTTTTTTTTTTTTTAAATTGTGCTTTAGGTGAAAGTTTACAGCTCAAGTTAATTTCTTATACAAAAATTTATATACATATTGCTTTGTGACATTAGTTGCAGTCCCCACAAAGTGACAGCACACTCCCCCTTTCCACCCTGGGTTCCCTGTGTCCATTCACACAGTTCCTGTCCCTTCCTGCCTTCTCGTCCTGCTTTTGGACAGGAGCTGCCCATTTGGTCTCCTGTATCTGATTGAACTAAGAAGCACATTCCTCACATGTATTATTTTTTGTTTCATAGTCCTCTCTAATCTTTGTCTGAAGAGCGGGCTTTGGGAATAGTTTCAGTTCTGGGTTAAGAGAGCGTCCGGGGGCCATAGTTTCGGGGCTTCCTCCAGTCGCTGTCAGACCGTTAAGTCTGATCTTTTTACTTGAATTTGAGTTCTGGTCTACATTTTTCTCCTGCTCTGTCCGGGACTCTCTGTTGTGTTCCCTGTCAGAGCAGTCATTGGTGGTAGCTGGGCACCATCTAGTTCTTCTGGTCTCAGGCTGGTGGCATCTCTGGTTCATGTGGTCCTTTGGGCTAACATTTTCCTTGTGTCTTTGGTTTTCTTCATTCTCCTTTTGCTCCAAGCGGGATGGGATCAATTGATCTATCCCAGGCCCCAGCTACTTTGTCCCTCAAAGTGTTTGGATACTTTAAACGGAAATCTCTTAAATCCGTCAGAAAATACATTAAGTCTTACAAGTTTTACCTGTTTAGTGCTTCCCATGCCCCCATGTCTGAATAATACCTCGTTACTATAGTTTTTAATAATTTAGGTTGAATAATTACAGAAAAACTTTAAAAATAGCACAGAGA